GAATGGCAAGGCCTTACCCCCGTGCTCCCACATAATTATGAAATCTTGAATTGCACAAAGCAATGCATTGCCCCCATTCACCCCCAGGTGCTCCCCTTGGAGCTTTACCCTTGTCATGCCGCTGGCCAGTCCTCTTTGCATTATTCTCACTCACCAACAGACTGACTCACTGACTGGCTGTCTCCCCTGAGCCGGGCAGTCATATCGTGGGATTAGGCCTCCTCGTATAACGCCAATGAAAGGGCTAAAGCTTGCCCATTGTGTAAACCAAAATGCTGAATCAATTCGGGCGATTCACAATGCAGTGCTCCGCCAAGAGTTTGCCATGGAGAGTCAACTTTTCAAGTTTACGGGCGACCAAAATATGGCCCATTTGAATGAGTGTCAGTAGACAACTTGAGCTATTATGTTATAGATAGGAGCATAGCGTTCCGCCGCCTTACAAAAATCACCATATTGATACAAAGAAAATAAAAGGGCAAACATTATACTCGAATCATACGCTTACGAAACTACTGAACGGAAAAAACGAACAATGTCAAATGTCCCACGCTGTGAATTTGTCGACCATCTCTCACAATGCACTGGGAAAAATGAACTCTCTGTGGCAAACTATTGGTGGCGCTCTGCATTGTGAATCGCCCGAATTGAATAGAATTGTGTGTGCTCTGAGACCAGCTTTGCCTCTTGTTTATTGTAGGCCTACACCATTGTACAGCATTATTCGTCGGACAAATGATGTTCAGCTATGATTTACCCCATTATTTTCAGTCTTACTCATCGTTGTTTTTTTTTACCTGCGAGGTTCATCCCATTTCCATTTTAAGATGGCCGACGACCAGATGGATGCACCAATTGGTAAATTTTAATCAGTGCCATTACCTTTTTATGAGTCACTTTCGAGCGTCCATGATGTGAATTTTTCTGAGGGAAATATTTTGCGCAACTTTCTACTCCGCTTAAATGTATGAGAAATATTTGACATCCCTTTTTGGTTTTTTTTTTTTTTAAAGAAAAGTGCACTTTTTGAGCATTTTTAATTGCTGTCTCGGTCAACTGAGGGCGCTGTGGCTATGATGTCATGTCAGGAAGACACTGTTCAGTTTAGGGGTTTTTGTTCAAATTGTAAACCTAAAAATCGGCACCAAAAGAAAAGAAAATTAACGACAGCGAAATATCCCAAATTCTGGCAACTTTTGGTGCTAAAACATTTGCAACATTTTGCTCACGAATGCCGGTACAGAGATTTGCATAAGTCAAAAACCAAAAAGGCACCAACATACCCTTGGAAATGGCAAAACGAAAATTTAAAATAGGGTTTAATGAGACAAAAAGGTCCATTTCCAAGGATTGCATTAAAAATCATATAGCCTGCCCCTTTAAGCTTTTCAAATAAATGAAATGAAAGGATGATTTGGAAAGTCTTGTCTTTTTTGTAATTTTATTTTCTTTATTTCATTGTGTTTTCATGTAATTTTAATGTGAGGGCTCCTTTGGAAAGCAGTTTTTTAAAATCTGAAATGGACTACCCTCGTTAAAAATTACAATAAATAAAATAAAGAATGAAAGGATTTACTGGTGCAGCAGGAGGCGGGGATGGTGTAGTATTTATATATGGAGCCAGAAGTAATTGATCCTTTCCATTTCAAATGTCACTTTCTTCCAAATTCCGCAGAGGCCTGGATGTTTGCCTGAACAGTTCCACTGATGAATTATTGATGGTAGCATATAGGACTACTGTGTTATTTTGTTCCTGAGTTTTTTTTTCTGTCTCACACATCGGCTGTTTAAATTAAAGTTGCCGTCAGCCATCTTACCATCTCTTTGAATATCAAGATAATTATAATGTATAAAGACGTTATGTTTTACATGTGCGCTTTGCTATGGGAGCAGGGGCGTCAATCGCTTCTCAAAAGTGTGGGGGGGGGGCATACCTTGATCAGAACTAATGCGAGGGGGAAGCCCATACAGCGTGGGGTTCGGGGCCCGCTTAAGGGCCCCGAAAAAAATGATTCTAGACGCTCTCTGTGGTGCGATTTGAGGCAATTTCTGACCACTTTAACCTTTTTTTGTAAGGAAAAGATTATCATTTGACATCATTTATCGGGGCTGGAGTCATTGAATCAGCCACTCTGAGCTTAAGGCGTGGGGTTCGGGGTCCCGCGCTTAAGGGCCCCGAACAAAATTGATTCTAGACGCCCTCTGTGGTGCGATTTGAGGCAATTTCTGACCTCTTTTAACCAATATTTTCATAGCAAAAGATACATTGTAGTACTTAATAGGGCCCTGTAAATGAGACACACGAGTTAAAAAAATCTGGGGGGGGGACATTTGAAATTGTGTCCCCCATTCTTCAAAAAGTGTGTGTGGGGGGGGAGTGTCCCCCCCCCCCCCCCCCCCCCCCAGGATTGACGCCAATGTATGGGAGCCAGGTGGGGACATGCAAACAAAAATATTAATTTAAAAATATTAATTAGTACAATTTACACAGTTTATGGAGGCATCCCCATCCTTCCCTTCCCTCGTTCCCGTGCCGACGATAGAGAACAACATCCTGTGTTAAAAAAAAGAAGAAGAAGCTGAACTCAAGTGAAGAAGATCTTGCTGTTTGAGAACGAGAAGTTCTTCCATATGTAACATTGTTTCCGGTAGAGATTATAAAATGATCTGGTCTCGTTAATGTGACAGTGAACGCCTGGCAAAAGACACGCAAGACCAAGGGGTTGCATCCAGGGACGCATCAGGGCTGTTGGGGGCTGCACGGACCTGTAGGATACGGGAAGCCCCTCGTAATGCAAGTAGACCTTCACGCAGACTTTCCTCATCATGACGCTGTCGCCATCATTTACTGCGGAAATTTAAAAATTGAGTCACTAAAACTATATCTCCAAAAAGGTTAAACATGTGGGCATATACCGATGAACATTACCAATAGTGACAGATGTGTGTCAAATATTTTGTTCGATTTATTTAATCCGAATTCATCTGATAGGGAATTGTAAAATCTCAAGTATCGAGTTTTGACAGCTTTGACTCTCTTCCTCAATGCAGACATTTCTCCGATTTTTTTACCGAACAAAAAATAAAAAATACATCCCTGCAGTAACTGTACTTCCATAATCCAATCGACTGGTATGCAGACAAACAATAACCTAACACAATGCTGATTTGCATGCCGAAGAGAGGAAAAACGAAAGTTCTCGTATATTCCACAAACGAACGAAATATGTCCAATTTGAAACCGATAAACATTTCCAGTGGCGGGCAGATTACATCGTTTCCCAGCTCGCGAGACAGCGCAGACCCTGTCTGGGTTTGGTCGGATGGAACGGCCCTTGGTTTTGGGTTTAGGTAAACAATGAGAGCATTTGTCGTACTTATTGCAAAATGTTGATGCCGAGTTGGCGTGCATTAACTCATTTTGCTTATTAACGCGCGGAGTGTGGTAATTGATTCTTTCCTACTTGGTGGGGCTTGAAGTCCAAGAAGTTTGAAGGGGGATGAAGTATTACTGTTGCATGAAAACGCACTCAACGCCAAAAAGCATAAATCAATGAATCAAGATTTCCAACATTGAGTGACGAAGTTATTCAGGGAACATTAATGTTGACTTTATTCATGAAACTTCAGAAAGTTTGGATTTTTCGATTGTGTAAAAAAATTACTAACATTTTCCAATTTGAGGGCGTGGTTTCCACCTTAACCTTAACCGCCCCCTCGGATCCGCCTTGGATGTTGCTCTGATGATTTCAGGAATTTAGAAGCGGACATCAGATTGTTGGCGGGTTGTTGAAAAACTTTTCCCAAAGGGATCATTTGGGGGTTATCAATTACAAACCTCTTAATGATTAAACCAGTTGTCTGACAGATCAAGCATAATTCAGCAATTACTGGCAGAACATCACAGGCATACACGATCATTTTCTTTTCATTCATTTTGTTCGTTTCCAAATATAATAACTTCACCACTCAAAATCCAAAGAAGACTGTTGAAGGCCTAACCTGTTGAAGTTTCAGCTCAGTGGATGTTACACTTTTCGAGAAAGCAGTTAAAACCAAGCATAACCGCGTTTTATCACGAAACAATAGCGCTCTATTTCCAAAAACCAGTCAATTGATTGATCGTTGGAAATCACCTACATTTCTTGATTTCCTCTAAATGACAGCAGACTAGACGGTATAATTTCAAGGGGCGTTTAGTACCAGTGCGATCTTTGCAAGTAAGCTTTTTGATAATAATTCGGTAGATTATACTTTGAAAAAAAATGTAATGATCCTATATGCCTTTAAGGAACACATACGGTCAGTGTGTGTATGTTACCTTACACGAAGGAACGGAACGATGAGTCAACTTAATACCTAACTTGTTCGCATTTACCACATTTTTGCAATTAGAGACCAATTTACTATTATTTTTGTTCAGTCGGAAGTTCATGGTTTACTGTGACCGCTGGTCCCATCCATGGCGGGCCTGGAATTAGGGGAGGAAATAGACAAGAGACATTGAGTGGGTGCGGTTTCCCGCTAAGTAATTTTTTAAGGAAAATTTTGGTTAAGAGGAAAGGCATTGTGATATTGACTAATCCGCCTATAGAATGCATAAATGATGACTTCTAGGTTTCCGAAGTTAGTGATGTCTTTTATTCAGTATTGGTTTTTCTCCTATACATGCATCTTTAACATCCAAGGATTTTTTGTCGGTCGCTCAAAGTCTAAAGATTATTTCCCCAATTTCATGACCGACGAGATGTTGTCCAACCAGGATTGTAAACAGCTATACTTACTAGAGTGTAATCACGCGTAACAACGCTATCAGCTACAGGCAAAGTAAGCCCCGCCCACCACACTCAAACTGTCATCCAATCAGCACGCAGAATGATAATCGCAGAGAGCAAAGAAAACAGAAAGACACGACAACTCATTATTTACGATACGCGGCAGAAGGCACGGCGGCGACATTAAACCTCGGAGGTGCACACGCTACAAGGGGGAAAGTCTCTCTACTTCATAAGAAACAAACAGGGTGTTGGGATGATGACTAAACTCCGCTGTGCCGGCAGTCAAAATGGCATGTCGTGAGGGGCTGTTGCTACACGGTGTCTACGTGCCTCAAACTGACGCAGCGGTGATCCAAACTTACAGCGGGGGCAGAAGTGTTTCAGCTGGGATCTGAGGAGAACTTTTTTTTTCTTCATAATCATTGCCAATCCATCAGCTGTAGATGCTTGGAGATTTTCTTTTCTTGAAACACGCAGACCCAGGGGACAAGTTGTAATATGACGACGTGGTGGGTTTGTACCGCTGTCCCACCATGAACTGGTTCCCTCATCTGCTGCTTGCTTTGCACTACTGGCTGGTACCCGGGCTGATCTTCCTGACTTTGTTGCGGCTACCGGTCGCCAACGGATATTTTGGGTAAGGTTACTTTTTTTCTTCGCCGCAACACGAACCGGTGTTTTCGCTGGATTTTGATAACAGATAAAGACAGACCACAAGCTAGCTGGCATAATACTCTGTTGTTTTGAGTTGGAGAGATTGGAATAAGCAGGAACAACGCCATTTCTGAGTGAACCCATTGCTCCATGCTTGGGCAAATCTACACGATTTACACATAAATTAGACCCAAAAAATGCAGTTTCTTTTCAATTATAGAAATTTCGACAAAACATCAAAGTTTCTTAAAATCCACTTAATACCTTACGTGGGTTTTTGTCTGGAAATTTTACGTTTCAATACAGTGGATATCTGAAGTGGCGTTTAAAAAAACTTAGTCGGTTTCATGTGACAGGTGAGTTGATTAACATTAATGGTGGTATAGCGAAGTTTATCGCCTGTAGTGCTATAGTTCGATCGGATTGTACTAGTGTTCACGATCTGACAAGTATTTTGATGCAGGTCCGAGAATGCTAGATATGCGTCATGTGATATAATCTTAATATATAATGAGTGGAATAGATGACTTCCGTGACCTCTTCGCACCATCTAATTATAATAGGCGGTTATATTGCCCAGGAATAATTCAGTGGCAACGTTGAGATTACTTTTTCGGTCAGGGGTCACAAGCATCCTGTCAGTGGGGGTATGTATAGTCTTTCTGACAATTGGTTTAAAATAACCACAGTTGTAGATTAATTCCAAGCGAAATTTTAACATCTTCGGGAAGAACCTAAGTGCCTAAAGGTGCAGGCATTTGAGATTTTAAGTATATAGCGGGGAGATGGGGGACATTTTGGGGGAATTGTGCCTTTGATGATACAAGCATGGCATGTGGCACGCAGTCAGAGTATGTCTTCAAAAAGGTATTTGGCTATTAGGCCATTGCAAATTTGTCCATCAACATTTTCAAAATGGCTGCCATTGCTTGTTATTCTACCTACATTTTTTTTTCAAAGGACAAATCTTCGATGGCCCTATAGCCAAATATCTTTCGCATGACACACTCTGACTGTGTGCCAAATGCCATGCTTGTATCATCAAAGGCACAATCCCATCACCTGCCGTACAACAACATAGTATTCAGCAAGTTGAGCAAAAATTGCCCACTTTATTATTGGAACGTTTTGCCAAAAGAACAAAAATTGCTTATTGTGGTGCAACCTAGTGGTAATGCACTTGGAACTTCACTACGCAATCCTAAATATCTTCCCCCGTCCGAACAGTATATGACGAAACCACAAACCAAGAAATTCCCCAAACTAGACCATAACCGTTGTATGGCACGGTACTATACTACAAGCACACTGACACTTGCTTTAATAAATTCCCGGCACATCGGGTTATCAAACTGAAGAGGGTTATTGAACTTCGCAGAGGCACACTTTCCCTAATTGTGTTATCCGTTTGACTCACAATTGGCAGTGTGCTGCAACATTTCGACCTTGGTCATGATAATCCACGCGATATGGGGGATGCGCACAAGTGATACGTATAGTTGTTCCAAATGGTCGGGTGGGGAAAATGACTTCATTTTGGCCTTTGTGCAGTGCTGTACTCATCATGGGCTACGATCGAGTTGGAAGGCTAAGAAAGTAACGCTGCCTCAACTTGATTTGTCTAATCTTTTTGCTGGTCCGTGATGGCCATGCCTACCCTCTTTTGTACCTGACTTACTGACTGACTCAGACTCACTCACTGTTACTTACGAAATAGACTTGCTTCGATCAGCCTCAACTCGAATCAAAAATTTGACTCAGATGACTACCTAGACCTCTTAGACCAGCTAAGTTTGTCTATAGTCTTGTTCATATTTAGCTACACTCATTTGCAATAAGTTTAAAAGCCATAAAAGTGTCATCACAGCCAACTTTGACATTTCAGTCCCGTCCCGTTCAGCTAAGATAATGTGCATAGAGTTGTGCAATACGAGATGCCGGAGGTCCGCGTGAGACCGGTCGGCGCTGTATTGCAGGCGGGTTGTAGCCTGGCCACACATCTTCCGGAAGTCCATTCATCGTTGGGTACCGCAGTTCGAGTTCAGGGGTAGCCCGGCCTAGTCAGCAGGCCTTCATGCATCATATCCGGGGGGAGCTCCGTGCGCCCCCGACGGCCGGGGACGTACGCTCTGACGTATACGCAGGCAGTGTTGAAAATGACTCAGGCTTGGAAACACAAAAACTACAAAGCAAAAAACATGTTGTTTTACTATACAAATGTTCTCGTTGTTTGTTATAAAATAACATTTTATCAAATTCGCTTAACAGTCTAAGGTTCGCGTTTGATATTTTGACCACTGTTAAGTTAAAGGTTGAGCAACACTGCAAAACCTTTATAATGAAGGTTATCAAGCAAGAGGGACATGTATTACCAAACAAGGAAAAGCTTCTTCTTTCTCTTTTTAATTAAAGGCAATCGTATCATAGGGAGTTTAGCAGAAAAATCGTAGAGACAACTTTTGTACAATTTAAATTTTGAGATATATTTCGAGAAAACAGTCATTACCACGGGAAACAGAGGTATTAATTCACACGGTGCGGGTTTTGCAATTTTGAATGAATGAAAACAGGCGACGGAAGTACTACATGTATATATACTTTTTTCAAACTGTGTTTGCCAGTTTTTTTCTTTTAAGAAGCTGCGTCCCACCTGCGCTCTAACGATCATCTCGTACGTGTACCATGTTCAATTAATGTTTTGTTCGGCCTCAATTAGCCTTTTGGGGATATGGCGGGGACACAGAGGAGGGCACTTTTTGGAGCAGCAAATTTCGGTAAAAACAAAAGATTTGACCCACTCCAAAAATTGGCGTCCTTCTATTTGTATCCACCGTAACCCCAGCAAAAGGGCGAAAGTGGATCAAAGACGAACCTTGCCGGTTTGGCTTTGTGGTTTGATGCAAATCGTTAGTTGTTAAACTGATCAGGGAGTGACTATCTTTTGAACAGACTCACTTCCAACACGCAGCTGACAAGTATCCACGGATCGGACCAGTGTCCCCACTACCTGACCAAGCGGCAGAGGAAGATGTGCGGCCGGGACTCGGGCATGCCTGCCGCCCTGGCCGACGCGCTGGAGCTGAGCATCTCGCAGTGCCAGGAACGCTTCCAGAACGAACGCTGGAACTGCAGCATACACAACACGTCGCAAAGGGCCAACTTGCTGAAAAGGGGTAAGAAGTTATGGAATTAAATGTATATCCATTAGCTTAAGTCTAGATGAAGTCCCCGAACTAGCTAGATGAGGATCCAGAATTCCGGTGGGTTATAGGCTGGGGTGTTAAGGGCCCAGGCCAGTGAATAGGCCCAAAATTGCCTGCGCCGGTCCAATCACGATTTGCATGCACTCATATTCTTCGGTATTAGAGCATTTTGTGAACCATGAACTTGAGGGTCTGTAAAAAAGAAGGGTGGAGGTCGTGCACAGGACAGTGAGCTTGTATTCCTGTGAAATTTGGATGAAATTGGGCCCCAAAAGCGCGCGTATTTTGCAATGGAGCGTATAGGCATCGTTTTTCAACATGCACTATTTTTAGGGGTGATATCTTCGGATGGGAAAATTTCTCCCAAAAACCTTCGGATTACCTCAAAAAAAAACTGAACAAAAAATTAAAGATGACGAAGTAAGCTTTAACTTGATGCGTGTCTTGGCCTCAGAGAGTTGTGAGGATTTTGGGAAGTGCGAGTAATTACCACGATGGTATATGGCAGTCTATTTACTGGTCTGGACCCTTTACTCCAGGGGTGGGGTATGAGTTGCTGGAATATGATGTTGAAATAAACGCATAAAATACCAAAGACATAAAGCAATTAATCAAGATTTGCCATATGAGGGGTCACATTATTCATGGAAGCTTGGGAATTTTGGCATCATGTAAAAATCCTAAGTCATCCCCTCTTTGCCCTGTGCCTTGCCTATCCAACATAACTTTGATTGCTCATGCAAAAGTGCAAGCCAAAATTTTCTGCACACAACATTTGAATTGCTTGCGGGTCCATTTGAAGTACAGCCTGTTAGTGGTACAAAAATTTCAAAATTGTATAGCTTCTGCTCTGGGTTGGCACAATGTCATGATTATGTTTGATGAAAAAAATTATTAGCGATACTTGGAACTTTATTATAAAAAAAATGGCGGGAAACGGTCACACAGAAGTTCCTTTACACAGATCATGAACATTTACAACACATGCCAGTCTTCTGCCAATTCCTCTGGTTTACATTTCGCCTAAATTATATTCAAATACCTCAATAAAACTTGGAAGGAGTTGAAGTCAGGGCACCAGGGTCGTTAGACGCTGTTGAAGTCAGGGCACCAGGGTCGTTAGACGCTAGTTACCGACGCAGATAGGCATCTTGTCAGACAATGTCCGCCGTCTGGCATCCAATCGATTTCCCATCCCTAGTGACCTACTAATATCAGCAAGATGGATGCTATCCTTCCTCGATCCCAGACGGTTTCCCTTAAGGCTGGGATTTTTTACACGAAGGTGAATATCCGCATCTTCAATACAGTATCCACCACAAAATGTCAAGAGTATTTAATGCAGGTGCTCTAAGAGGTGTGCCACGACGCTTGAACCTCAATAAAAATGTCGAATTTTTTTTCAAACCGCTAAACACGAAAGTGAAGTATTTAGGTAAAGTCAACAGCGTATCCAGGTTTTCGGTCCGGGGGTGGGGCAAATGGGAGAGCTTTTGTTTTTCATTTGCAGAAATGTTTAAAAGCAGGAGGAAGTATAAATACAACAAGTAGTACCAGCGACGTAGCCAGGGTTGTCATCCGGGGGGGGGGGGGGCTTGAGGTTACAATGGAGGGGCGCCCAAAAATGTCATCTGTGCTGAAAGGTATAGACAGGGTTTTTTTCACCGGACACCCGACCTCCGTAAAATCACATAAAAGGGGGGGGGGGAACCATCTTCCCTCGGGTGCGCTATTCAAAACCTATATCATGGTTAATAGACAATAACTACCGCTATTCGCTTTCCACGGACGTTAAAATGAACAGCCACTCGCGAAAAGAAAGGGTTTGGGGGACAAAAACGCACGAAATCACGGGAAAAGGGACTTTATGTTCTTCCAGCTAATCATGGTAACTCATACGGATGTTCTACGAACTGATGAATACCCATTAACTACAATGAAACATAAACGTTTTCTGACCTCCATGAATGAACAGACCAACATCATCTTCAGTATTTCAGAAACAAAGAGTGGACTTTGTTCCTCATATGCAAAACACACAATCTGGCAGTAAAAATAATATTTCGGTCTTGACTCAACTAATTAAAATCCCATTTGTTTTCGACTGCGTATGTGTGATCTGTAATTCTCACTCAGCTCAATATCTTCCAATTGCAATCCATGGACAGCTATGAAAATATGTTCTTTTGGTAAAACGTACCTAACATCTTATAGCATGGATCAATTTGAGTAATTCTTTTTTTTTTCCAGATGAGTGGAAGAACATGCTCTTTTAGTTGAAGACATACTTCATTTGTGTATAAAATTTGATTGCTTTTTTAAAGAATTTTTTTATATCCAGGTCACTTTTTTTTTACTCGCCCTGTAGTCAGTCAAGTTGCACTTACATGACCGTACTAGGAGTTGTGCCGACGCTAGAATAATTACCAACATGCAAATTCCTTTGTGATTCAATTATGTCACACAATAACTCACTCGACTAGATATTGTTCTTGGTAAAACAAAAAAGTGCCGTGTTTCTGGTCTGTAATATCAGTCATGCTATGTGTACGTTCCCCATTCAGCAATATATGGGGTGAAGTGAGGTTCTTTCCGTTGCAGTGTACGTGTTGTGCCGGGCACAGAGGAAGGAGCATGGGGCATTACAGCAAGGAGGGCCGGCCTCAGGGAACCTTGTTAGTCACAGTTTGTCTGAGACTACCCCCTCCCCCATCCCATATGACATGTTGTCACTAGTCGTAACAGTTCTTCCACTCAATTTAATCAACTCACCATCAACATTAATCGCAACTGTGACTCGACGATTTTGGGCATTGAATGCTCCCCTCGTTCTTCAACTTCAAAGACTTAAATTGATTGAGAGGCTGTCGCTTATGATGACTCAAACACCCTCTCCGACACATATGTGTGTTATAAGGATCATTGATAGGGACTGATATTGACTATATTCAATATCAGGCAACTTGTGATCGCCACTGGCAATTTGAGAGGTTGATTGAACAAAAAGGAAAATATGTGCCCTGAAATTGATTTCCGTTACCCTCTAGATGCAATGCATAGCTGAAGGTTGTAATGCTGCTATATTGATTAAAATAGTGGAGCAAAACAAAATACCGTCCATGAATAAAACAAGAAGTGTGTACACTTGGCCAGGTTTCCCATGCCTCGTGAGTCCGCTTACCGTAAGAAAAGCATCTCTGCTGACCATTATAGAAGATCTTTGCAAAGCTGAAGCAACAAGTGTAATTCACTTGTTAAAGAATTTGGCTTAATATGCACACACGTACCTGCCATATGCTGTATCTGTATGAGGATTTTGTGCTTAAGTGATGAGCACAGCAAATTGCCAACACAGTGGTGATACAAGTGCAGTATTCTGTGGTAAGCGTGCCATGAAACAGATGCTAAGTCGGCAGACGAGCGAAAATCACAGGCTAAACTGCCAAAAGAAATTGGCCCCCTGCCATATATGAATCATAGATTTTGTTGAGGACAATCTCGCAAAAGGAATGTTGAAATAATGGTGTTTACTATAGCAATTGGGTTGTTCAATTTTATGCCTAATCATCCCAAAGGTTGATCTGTTTTGTTGCTTTGTGAAATGCTTGGCAATCGGAACGTTTTTAAATATTTATCCGCTAATAAACCAAGAATGATTACCAGTGTAAACGAAAACTGAAGTTAACTCAAATAAGAAAGTCGCCATATATACGCTATTTTTTTCTTCTTCTGTTGGACTGAGTATCGACGGTAGCGTGGACCGAATTAGCCGCTGCTGAAAAATGTAATTTGCTGTCGGGCACCACAGATAAATCTGCGCCTCGTTTATGGATCACTGACCGGGGGAACGAGTCGTTACCAATTGGGACCGTGGCTATAAACACCCATGTTCTTCAGATGAAATTGTAAAACAAAATGCAAAGATAACACCGGGTCATTCGCTATGCCGATTGTATATCTTCGGATTTCGCTGGAAAATTACACTCATCAGATTTCTAGTTGGTTTTGTTAGTAATAAACGATTCTTTTTTACGATGGGTTCTCGTGGCATGAAATTGGTAGAACAAGCCGACAAACCAATTAGTCGGGGAAAAAGAAAAACGGTCCCTAGCGGGCGGTATATGCGGGCCTATACGCCAGTAAAGCCGATTCAATTGAAAGGGAAGAATTCCAACGTTCATTCCTGAGTTTTTAGTTATCTACTCTTCCATTCATTTGGCTCGCCAATTTTTTTTCTCTCATTGTATGAGGCTGGTATAGAACCAACACTGTTAAAAATACCCGTAAATTTACGGACTCCGTGAAGTGAAATATTCCGTCTTTTCGGCGTAATTATACGGATCTTTCCGTAAATGCAAATATTAATTATGCTAATTAGCTTGATTACAATCAACCTAATCGGCCCAAACACCTACACATAATAAAGTACATCTAAGTTCATATTGTAATTTCACCCACAACCGTGTACACCATGTCAAAACTCATGTTAAGGGTCTGTTTATTTTACGGAATGAAAAAACTTTTCCGGAAGTTTTGCTGCAGGAAAACGGAACGCTATTTGCTTTCCGGCAGCAAAATTTCCGGAAAAGGTTTTTCATTCCGTGAAATAAGCAGAACATTAACACGAGTTTGGACATGTGTACTATACACGGTTGTGAGTGGAATATCAATATGTACTAAGATGTACTATATTACGTGTAGGTGTTTTGGCCGATGTGGTTGATTGTAATCACACTAATTAGCATAATTAATATTTGCATTTACGGAAAGATCCGTATAATTACGTCGAAAATACGGAATATTTCACTTTACGGAGTCCGTAAATTTACGGGCATTTTTAACAGTGAAGGAAAATGTCACATCTCTATCTCCCATGCAAACTTGAATTGAAACAACTTTACCGACTATATAATCGGTTCTTCGCTGTACTAAACTCTATATTGGATTAGGTATAATGCACAAACTGCTATGGGCACAGAGACTGACCGGGGAGTTTGCATCGCACCATCCGGTGTTTTTCTAGGAACTTCGACACGTAACTTTGTGGAGGAAATGAGGTGGGCAAACTTGGGTTGCCTGGCTTCTGTGCGCACTACATTTTACATAAGTTGTGATGACCAGTAAATTAGTTTATATAACAAAAGAGCAAGGAATAGGCCTAACTTATAATTTAAAACCAAATGCTATTCACGATCTCAGCACATGAGACAGAATCATGTCTAGTAGATGTGTTGAGTAACAACCTCGTCATTTAATAGACCTTATGCCTAACGGCCATCTTGGAGGGCCTATGTTCTTATTTTAATTCAGTTACAATGAATGCACTCATGCAAATAACAGCAACACAAAGGTTATCTTGAACTAATAAGATTGGTCATGTCAACCAATATAATTGGTTATCTTTAACCAATATATTGGTTGTTTTGACCAATATGTGATGGTTAGTATTCTAACCAATGTCGGTTGGTTGAAAAATTAACCAATCAAGACTGGTTATGGATTGGTTGAAAAGGTCACCAATCTTGATTGGTAAAAAAAAAAACCAAGACATGTTGGTTAGTATTGTGACCAATATAGATTGGTTGAAAAGCAAACCATTTCAGATTGGTTATTTTAACCAATAGATTGGTTGGACACATATCTACCAACCACATTGGTTTAATTTGACCAATATATTGGTTATTTCAACCAATCTGTTTTTAGGATGTATCAACCTATGAGATGGCTGCTACACATAAGGTCTATTGCATGTGTCCGCTCGCATTCATTATTTTGTTTTGTTTCAATGACAAATGACTGATGCATTAACTAAACCACAAGTTAGCAGAGTTAATCACATTTAAGTCATTTAAGCCAGCCACTATCCTTTTAAAGCTGAGTTAATATCGGTGTCAACTGTCATCCAGCTAACACCGCGTTGGCATATACAGGTTACGAACTCAAGCAGAAAATATTTGCTCATATTGCAGGAAACTATTTATTCAGTGCTAAGAAAAAAAAACCAGCCGAGTACCAGTTACAAAGTGGTACACATCATAGGGCAAGTTTTGAGCTGGTAACTTGTTTTTGCTAAGGAAACCTCTATCTGTGCTCGGTGAAGTTCATATTGAAATTTGCCACATTCATTTGTTTCTGAGCCCATCCGC